TGTATTATTTGATATTCCATAGAAGACATCTTATCTCCCTGGTCTGATTTCTTTGAGGTCTGGACTTGCATATGACTATAGCTATACAGGCTATTTCTTATCATGGATCACAGACACTCTAGTACTTATGTAGTACATTTCCTTGAAGTTGAAGAAAGCACTCCCTGTTAGCGAATGAATTGCAAAATAGCAAACAAATTAGAATAGGTTCTCTTCTGGGCAAATGAATGAGAAAACAGTAGTGTCTCCGGGTTGACCAATTATTTTTTAAGCCCCACCCAAGCCCAGAAGCCCCCAGTGGCTGTCCTTGGGTAGACACCCTTGTGCAAGGCATGACCTGCTCAACTGTACATGACAGCCCTGGTCACAGAAACCACTTTTCATTTTTGTGTTCAGAGTTTTCCCCTAGTGCTCTAAACTTAGCTGTTCACGCACATCACTAGGTGACCATTTTAAGTACATCAGTTCATTATGAGACCAATATTGTCAGCGTGCTAGCACACCATCACTTTTAAAAATTAAAATTGAATGAGACCTTTTGTAACAAACACATTGTGTACCCATCTCACCTGAGCAGTCACCACTGCATGCTAGGGGCTATTATCTGGAAACACCTGCCACTGTACCTAGGGCAGTGTTCTGACCATGGGAGCCATCAGGACATTTGCATGTAGAAAGACAGAAGAGCTACAGAGTTGGTGGTCCCCAGAGATGCCCTCAATCAACGGAGGACTGAGTCCCAGTTTCTGACTGCAGCAACTTGCCTGATAACCCACCTTTGATTAAGATGAGACATGGGCAAAATAAGCATCAACTCCTCACAATGTGGTTAGACTCCCATCCACCAAGAGAGAACAGAACATGAGACAGATATGTCCCAGAGCAAAGGGGACTACCCAGGAAGACCATCAAAGGGCAGCCTGGGAGTGCAAGTGGCCTAGAATATGCACCAGGCATCCATAAACTCTTTCCAGCAAAGGCCAAGTAGTGAATATTTTAGGCTTTGCAAGGCCTCAACCCAACTACTTAACTTGTATTGCAAAAGCAGCCACAGGCAATTTGTAAACAAATGGATGTGACTCTGTTTTAATAAACCTTTATTTATAAAAACAAGGAGCAGGCCAACCATGGGCCATATTTATGACTATTTTCATAAGTGGTCAAAGAAAGACAAGGGCACAAGAGGGGAGAAAAGTCAACTAATGAGCCACATGTGGTGATGCAAACTGTTGCCCCAGCACCTAGGAGGCTGAGGCAAAAGGATCAAGAGCTAGATCAAGGTCAATCTGAACTACAGAGTGAGACTCTGCTTTAAAGAATATCTGCAATGAATCAGTCATCCTTCCATTTTGTCTGCACAGCATCTGAGTAGTAAAGTTGTATTATTTGTGTTTTAAAGATGAACAAATCACAGTTTCAAAAAAAATAAAATTTTCAAGGCTAAAACCAGCCTAGATCCAAAACCAGGTCTATCTAATTTTAATGTTTTTCTTTGTCTCAGTCCTGCAAGAAGGGCCCATAGGTCACAGAGGCATTAAATTCAGATTTGGGTAAAGGGATGGCAGTATCAGAGCAGGAATCAACTTTGGGGGCCTCAGAAACTTCTCTGGGATGTAACAGCAATGGGTGTGTCTACCACTGGGTTCAGGAGCTGCTATCCTCCACCATTATGCTTCACTATGAGACCAGCCAGCATCTGAAGTGTGCCTTGGTCAACCTGTGCCCTTGATGACCACACAAATACAGCCTCCACGTATAACAAGTCAGAGAGTTCTTTGAAAATAAATTCTTCACTATCTTTTTGTAACGGATGTGCATGTATGCCATCTATGTGGAAAGTGCACAATAAACAATGGTTAAACCTTTAATTATTAAACTTTCTTGCTAAGAGCAAATATAGCCTTCCTTTCTGACAATGTATTCAAATATTCAGAAATTAAGCCTTAGGGTTACTAAATGCCAGAGGTGATTCCCCCCACACACCCTACTCAACTTTTACAAGACAAAATGAAACTATTATCAGAAGTTTCTTCCAGAAAGAACTTCTAGGAAAGCACTGAAGTTAGTTTGGACTTTACCCAATCTTCTCACTGTCTGCATGATATACAATGATAATTCAAGTTCATCTTGATAACTGAATCATCATAATCCTGAATCATCGACAATTAAGTTATGTTCACTAAACAGCTAATATTTTCTATAGCAATAAAGTAAGGTATTTTAGAAAGAAATTAGAGAAGTCCAAAAAACAAGCATCTACTTTAGCCTGAGATGACCAGAGCACTAAATTTATCAAAATGCCACCTACTTGCAAAGTCCAAGTTAATGGCTGTCGAAAATTTAGTGTAATTCAAGGCCAGTTTAACTTATACACAAATAATTTTACAGGAGACAACATTATAATTCAAATCAATAAATGATTCAGTTTGACTATAAAAGCATAAACAGAACCTTTGAAAGAATTTCTCCTTGTTCTTTCTTACTATAAACCATTTAAATTTTAGCCAGAAAACATATGGCCCAACAAGAAAACTGTTTGCCTTCCTTAATGCTCAGTGTAAACTTTTACCCAAGGAATTAGGTATTAGTCATCAAATTCATTCTAAAAACAGCACAATTAGTGGGGTTCCAAAAATCATCTGTTTCAACACTGAGAGGCAAATTTGAACCCAGATAATACACAGTCTTTCTTCTTGTTATTAAAAAAAAAGGGTAGCTAAGTTTACAGGATTCTCAGTTTCATGTTTTCAGAATTTCCCAGTCCTTTCTTCTAACTCCCACCTGCTTCAGGGCAAGTCTTCTTTCCCAAAGTCAAGAATAAGAGCCAAGTGACTAGAATCTAGAATCAACTGGGAATTATGAGGTAAATGCATGAAACAGTCACTTTGGCAGTAAGCATAAAGTGCAGAAATCATCTGTTTTCTCTAATGACTTATTTTCTGATTACACTGATAATAGAAACTTGACCTTGTTCAGCTCAGGTTTTACCCCACTGTCCTTGTCTCTGGAATTGCCCTCAGTCTTCAAAAGACTAACATAGCTTTAGGAGAGGGGTTCAGTGCTCCACTCTCCATCATATCTCCAACTCCTGCTTCTTTAGCAAGTCCTTTCTCATAGGCCTCAGTCATCAATTCACATAGATTCTGCCCAAACTCTGGATCTTCCCTGTCCTGACCATCAGAACTTTCTAGATTCTCTCCTCACCAATCCCAGCCTCCTACAGAATATTCTGCTGCTCCCTGCTCTGATCTGAGGGTCAGCAGTGCAGAGCAGGGCTGCACTGAGTCTATCAGTTGAGATGCCTCACAGAACCACTTCTGATCTGTGACTCCATGCTCCTGTCATAGGATGAGTACATCTTTCTAAAGTTGTCATTCTAACCTGTCCCACTCCAAGAACACAGCTCAGAAGAAAGAAGTACCACCAAGGGCTCCCTCTGAGAACCTCACAATGACTACTCACAGCATGTTCCCTATCCCACTCACCTTACACAAGGGAATTTTAATGTCTCTATGAAGAAACAAACCAGGCACAGCAAATAGTCTTCCAAATCTATTTCTTAAGTATCAACTTCAGCTTTAAAGCCCAGATGAAAAAAATACAGTGTTTCTCTCAATATTCCTGCCTCTACTAACTTAACCAAGAATACTCTTGTTTCTGAAAACTTCAGAGAAGGTTAGGGGTAACAGAGAAAACTTTAAGAAGACAAATTAATATTTTGAAAAGTATTCCCTTAAAGGACTGAATACAAGTATTTCAAAGAAAGTCGAAAGATTAAAAATGGCAAATCAGAGAGGGCCTCCTGTCTATGGCCATACTACCCTGAACATGCCCGATCTCATCAGAGAGTGCCTCTCAAAAACAGGATTATAGATCAGATACATAATTAAATTTTCCAGGTAAGTCCTGAAAATATCCCAAGACCCACGGAATCAAGAAATGCCAAGGCTGGATTGCAGATCTAATTCAGTGTTTCCTAATTCAATGTGTGCTGTGATCTAGGAAGCTATTTGGGATTGTTGCAACAGAACACAAAAACAAAGAGAAAGAGAAGGAGATGAAAAGAGAGGAACTTTCAAAGACCAACCTCCCCAGGCAGGCACTGCCCAGAAGGCAGTGGGGAAAGAAATGGAGTATTCACCAAATGGTATTCTTTTACATATAAAGGTCTCAATGTGAAAAAAAAAAAACAAAAAAACTATTTCAGTGAGTCCATAATTGATTTACATGGGGGAAGAGTTTCAATGGAAAAAAATGGACATGTAAAACTACTTAGAATTTCATACTCCAAATCATGTCCTGTGCGTTATAAGAGTGTGTGCTCCTAACAGTTCACAATTGTATAGTTATTGTATATTTATTAGTTCAATCATTTGGTTGATGTTTGTTCCTCCCACTAGTCTGTAACTTGAATGAGGGCAGGGATACCACTATTTTATTCCCATTCTTAGTAAAGCCTTGCATATATGTTTTTACCCTTCATGATATTTGTTGAGTAGATAAATAGTATCGGTGGTGGATAGTATTAGGGACATGGGAAGAGATCTAACGCCCATAAGAAGGAAGAAGACAAACCTTAAATCAGTTGGAAGTAGGGCGCTGGAAAGTGAGCCTTCTGCATAAAGCAAGAAAACTCTAAAGGCCGTCTCGCTTGTTTCAGGGAATCAGAACATCCTGTCCTGCAGTCCAAGAGGCCAGCATTCTGGAGGAAATCTGCTCACCCACAAGGGGTATCACTACTTAAAATGAAGAACACAGGGCTCACATTTGCTAACTTCTTGAAGGCTAGCAATAGGAGCTAAGGAAGAACCCCAGAAACAGGCATAAAAAGAAAATAGAACACTGAGAACACACTCCAGCTCTGTCACAATTTTGCAAGCACTGATCCAGCACAGAACATAAGCATAATGTTATAAACATAGAACAGTGTGTCTCACAGCACTGCCCCTATACTGTGCCTCTGGCTTTGTTGACCTAATGCGATTCCTTGTGTTTTTCAGAATGCAGAGGCAAGTTACGACTTCAGCAGCAATGATCCCTATCCCTACCCTCGGTACACTGATGACTGGTTTAACAGGTAAACTGAGCATTTTTGACACTAGACTTTGGGGTTTTATTTTATTTTGTTTAAGGCTTAAACACCATCAGCAAAATCATCCCAATATTACATTAAATTGTGATTTTTCTTCTTAGTGGTTGCATTCTCTAAATTTGCAGGGATTTTTTTTAATATTATAATGCTCTTTGGGAATGATCTTTTGACTATTTTGTTCTGTTGAAGTAGAAATTATTTGATAGTTTAATCTATTAAAGGTAAGAGAAAATAGAAGTAAGAAATCTTTTTCTCAACCTACTATAAGGTGACTTAAAAGAAAAAAGAAGCCATGCTGATTTCACTTGATCTGTTGAAACTATTGCCCAGAAACTTTTTGACCATGGGTCTTTGTCTATGTGTTTTTGAAAAGTGTCCTCTTATAACCTTATAACAGCTCACACAGTCCTTTTAACAAAAGATTAACTATGATTGGCAGAGGTTTGAAATATTGTTTAAGATAAAGTGCCTACCATGTAAAACTACCCAAATGGTCCATCTACAGTTACCATTTTTCTTCAGCCTATTTTGCTACTAAGCCTGTAAATATGGTGTCTTTTTGTCAAGTAAATATCTTGCTTAAATGATTAATTGCTTAGAAGAAATATCAAGAAATTAAGATGTATGGCTTGCTCAATGAAAGAATACTATAAGTTTTAAGCCTATTCTGTAAAGGAACTAAGTTATAGTGAGATAGGAGTAAAAAGTCATATTGTGCTCTTGCACAGTAAGGTGGTTATACATAACAGTAACTATAAACTTCAAAGTATTGGAGAAAATGATTGTAAATATTTTCCCAGAAAGAAATGATTAAATGTTTGAGATAGATATGATTAATCTGATTTAAATATCACACAATGTATATGCATAATGAAACATCACATGATAACCAATAATGTATATATCTTTATCAGTTAAAAATAAACTTAATTTAAAATTAAAAATAAATTACTAAATGAACCTAGAACTTCCCTATGATCAATTTCCTTGGGTGAAGTGTATGGAAACATGGATTTTAATTAATAGTATAAAAATATATTGTGTGTAATATATTATCCATTGGTTTTACTTCTCATGGCAACCTTAGTAGTAAATAAAAGCAAAAGTTGTCATTTTTCAGGTTAATGACAAGGAAACAGACTCAGAAAGCCTGAACGGTTTCCCTGGCCAAACAACTAGAGTTCATGTCAAAGTCAAGATTATTTCTAAATCCATTTGATAAGTATCATTTTTACTATTTTATGCATGAAGCACAATGTCCCAAGAGTGGCCAGGGACATATCCTCAGTGGACCAGGTAACTTAGACTCGCTTCTTACAGTTAGCAAGTTGACCTGGGAATATCACAGATAGAGACAGGACACATGCATTCTGGGGCCTGGAAAACACAGAAAATAATGAAGAAAATAACATTAAAAGCTATAAAATTTTTTAAAAGATCATTGTTACATGCATTAGTACAATTCATTTTCTACCAACTTTACCTGCAGCCTGAAAATTACTGGGCAGAGGGTTTTTCCCAATCTCCACATTTCAAATCTAAACACAATCTTCCCCAAGCCAAATCTTCTTGTGTGATGTGCTATAAAATATTCCTTTAAAAAAAACTATACAGAAATGTCTTTTCTCTTAAATATTTGCATTTGCAAACTTGTTCTTCAAAGTACAATTTTAAACTAGCTAAAGATCTCTAATTAGAACTAATTAGTGTTTTGTGTAATAAAATCCATCATTGTCAGCAGTAAGAATTCCCAAGTGTCCATTTACCCAAGACACTGTTAGAGTGACTCAGGCAAACATGATCCCTGAGCCAATGACTCAAAACAGAGTGTCCACTTTGACCACTGAATGGGTTTTCCCCAATTATGCAGTCATTTTTAAAGATCTTCATATACCATGGCTTGTTATTGTAAACAGTGAATGCCACCCAGCTCAACTCATGGCCTCACAAAACATAACTAAGGTTGTAACTGATTATGAGACAATGGAAAGTCAAAGTTCAAGCCCACAGTGCTGTAAGATCAATTGGTCTAAAATGTTGGCACCTATTTGGCAAAATAAGAATTTGAATAAAGCATCTTTCCCTTGAATGTAGGATATATTTACCAAAAATTCCCTCCAGGAAGAAATGACATTATGTCATTATGTCTCCTAATCTTGAGTTAGGAGATTGGAGATTGGGTTGGGGTGTTAAGGAGATGAAATTGGTCATGAGTTAATCATTATTTAGGCTGAGAGATGGGAACACAAGTTCACTCTGTTTTTGTTTATCTTTGTTGTTTTCTATATGTGTTATCAGACTTTTTTGTTGGTACAAATGCTTGAGAGAAACAACTTAAAAGAGGAAAGATTTATTTTGGTTCATGATTTCAGAGGTTTCAGTATATTGTCATCTGGCTGCACTGTTTTGGACTGAGGCAAGGCAAAATATCATGGCAGCAGAAGTGTGGTAGAATAAAGTAGCTCACCTCATTGTGGACAGGAAACAGAGAGAGGGAGAGGAAAGGGCTTGGGAAAGATCTAACCCCAAGGACACTCCCCCAGTGACCCATCTCCTCCAGCCTGCCCCCTAAGTTTCCAGCATCTCCAAAACCATCACCACCAGCTGGGACCAAGCTTTTAGCACATAAGCCTGTGGAGAGCTATTTCACAATCAAGCCATAACATTCTGCCTCTGGACCCCAAAGCATCATGGTCATGCTTCATGGTCATCTTATAAGGCAAAACACATTTAGTCCATCTTCATAGTTCCAACATTGTTGCAAAGCCCAAATTCAAGTCTCCTCTGTTACTCAAGGAAAACACTTAGCTGTGAGTCCCTGTAAAAATCAAAACACAAGTTACATACTTCCAACATACAAATGGCACAGAGTAAACATTCCCAGCCCCAAAGAGAAATAAGAAAATACTAAGGAGGAATTGGATCAAAACAAGAACAAAAGAGCAAACATCAAATTATGTAACTTTATGTCTGACATCCTGGGCACATGATGTCATGATGTGAGCTCCAACAGTCTTGTGAAGCCCTGCCTCTATGGCCTTGCCATAGACCTCTCTCTTGGACTGGCTCCCCATATTGCCTGTGGCTTTCCTTAGCAGATGTCTGCTGAAATCTCTAACATCCTGGGGTCTCCATTGCATTTCAGCTTCCCTCTCACAGCTTTGAGCAGAGCAGAGAGAGCATTACCCTCTCAGGGGCTGCCTGCAGGGATCCTAACTCTGCCACACATTGCCTGCCACAAAAGATCCCAGGCCTTCCTTTGAAATCTGTGTGAAAGCCTCCATGATTCCATAACTCTTGCCTTCTGCATCATTGCCCGTAAAATCAGCATCACATGGATGATACCAAAGTCCATTGCCAGATCAAACAATAGCTGGACCCTCCTTGAATCACAGCTGCAGTGTCCTCTGAGAGCTCAGATGTCTAAAAGGAGGGAAAACTTCCCTCTGCAGCACTGCAAGGGTGCATTAGGGCTCTCTTCTCAAAGCAAAATCTTTCAAATAAGTTAAAACTTTACACAGTTGACCCTGAAATAGGTGGAATCTGGCCATTTCCTAAAATAACCTCAAGGCATCTTTCCTATTACTCTGATCCAAAGTACTTGGCTTCTTTTTAATGAACCTAATCTCTTTCAAGTTTTATATGTTTCATTTTTATTAATAAAATACACCTTTGTGTATGATAGCCAATCATCTTTGATTTTTATATTCTATATTTAAAATCAGAGAAACTTCTTTAAAATCACATATTTTCCATCACAGTCTAGTTTCAAATGCAGTGTAGTCTCTCTTTTTTTCTTTTCTTTAAACATTTTTATTAGCATATATTAGTTATACATGGGGATTAGTATATAAAGTATATATAAAGTCCCTCTAATGGTCTTAATTTCTTTAACAACCATACTTTTCTTGCCCCAACTTTAAACATGCTCCTTTTCTGGATAGACTGCAGGTTTTTCAAATCCTTCAGCTCTGCTTTTGCTCCCAGTTCTTGCTGTAAAGATGGCTAAAAATAGCTATCAATAACCATGCCACAGGGTGAATACTGGGCTACTTTAAAATTCCTATCACCAGATTAATTCATCGATCACCTTTAAACTCAGCCTCCCACAAAGTCTCAGGACACAGACAAAATGTAGATAAGTTATTTGCCAGAATTTCACACAAATGGCCTCTAGTCCAGTTTCCAGTAAAGTTCTTGGTCCCATCTGAAGTCTCCTGGGCCCAGTCTTTACTGTCTTCATCCTACCAGCACTCTGGTCTCCTAAATGCCTGTCAGAATCTCCCAGTAAGCTCTGCTTATAGGACTCTTGGGCTTCTCTAGCCTTCTTCTCTAAACTTTTCTAAGTTCTTCTGACAAACCAGTTCCAAAGGTTTCTGAACTACCAAACCACGTGTTCAGAAAAACCACGTGACAGCACTGACCCTTCTCTGGTACCAATTTTCTGTGTTAATCAGACTTTCATCACTGTGACAAATACTTGAGAGAAAAAATTAAAAGAAGGAAAGATTCATTTTGGTGGACAGTTTCAAAGGTTTTACACCGTGGTCATCTGACTCTATGGCTGTGGGCCTGAGGAAAGGAAGAATGCCATAGTGGCAGGAGTGAGGTAGAGTAAAGCAGCTTACCTCATGGTGGACAGGAAGGAGAGAAAGAGACAGGAAGGGACCAGGGTAAGATCTAGGCCCCAGATTTATTTCCTCCAGTAACCTATTTCCCCTAGCTAGGCCCTACCTCTTCAAGTTTCCACCACTTCTAAGAATAGCACCACCCGCTAGGGACCAAGCTTTCCATACATGAGCCTATGGGGGGTATTTTGTATATAAATCATAAGACTGTAATAAAGTCAACTTAAAATGCATAAGGCATAAAACAGGCCATAAACAGGCCTGACGCTTGACTTTGGTCTCATAAAACTAGGTGTGCAAGCTTCTGAAGAGCTTGCAATGTAACAGAAGGAAGACATACCTGCCCAAATCTCAACA